TTGAATCTGTTATAATTTCACTAATTTTTAAACATAATAAATATGAGTGCTTCCATAAATAACTATGAGAAATATGTAAATATTGCTGATTTCCGAAAAAGAAGTGTTTATGTTATTTATTCTTTATCTTTAATATATACTATAGATTCCTTTTTCGCGAGTACTTATTATCGCTAAATTACACTTTATCATCAAATACAATAACTTGCAAGTGGAAGGTTGATTACATTGCTAATAAACATTTACATTGCTCTCAGCATCAAAGAAACAAAATCCAGTAATTTAATTTTTCGAGTGTCGCTTCCTGCGAAACTACGCGATAATTAATTACTCGATAATTAATCACTCGCGTATATAAAAGGAACATGTACACAGTTTCAACTGATTTTTGAAATTAAAACCAATTTTAACGTTTACAATTCCTTATTAAGACAATTTAAACGATCAGCAAAAAATTGAATATCATTTGTTGATTTTTAAGGAAGATAAATAGCTTAAACTTCTTCATAATGTAACGGGTAAACAATTTAAGGCTCGTGCTTTGTTTATGTTTACATACAGACATATTTTTGACAAAACAAGATTCAGTTAATCACTACAAACTGCTCAATGGTACTAAGAATTAAGTTATTTATTGAAAAATATGCTTTGAACGAACATGTATTAGTATATTTTAACCTATATTAAAAAAACATGATACGTGCTTACATAACAAAGGCTTGAATGCCTAAATCTATCTTGTATCTCGACAACTGAAAATAATTCAAACTTTTGATAATCATTACGAATTAGTATTTGCAAACATAAAAAAGCGGAAAAATAAATTTGAAATATTTCAATTGAAACTGTGTCCTTGTCCCTATAAGGATTCTACAGAAGTTTTTGGTGACAATATAGGTACATGCTGTTTATTCATCAAGTAACCAAGTACAAACTGGGGTTGTCACCAATAGAACAACAGCTCATAGTAAGAATGGTATCTTGAACTATGTGACTTAGAGTGACTTAATGCATCACACTGAAAATTCAATGATCTATAGTGCAACAAATATACGTGTACTGTAAATCAATAAAATAAACTTAATATATCAAACATAAGGTGTGTTTTTATCCTTTTGCAAGCTATTCAAATAGTATGGTTTGTTAATTGTTAAAATTTCACAAAAATTGGTTTATTCTTGTCTTGCACTCATATCAATATGTATCATATCCGAATCATATTAATTATATTTCCTACTAAGCGGTGTTTACATGTACAGTGTTCTTAGTGTTGACCATTCAGAACTGATGTGTGAAATTGACTTTCATCGTAATATATAAACAAAGGTCTCTTTGTTTTATATGTCCCTGATACATTTAGCTAATCGAATCAGATCGAGGGATTAAGTACTCGTAGTCGTTTTACTTATTTGTATACTGACTTATATTTGCAACTGCAAAATAAATGAACTTAGATGTATATGACATATAATATATAATCTTTATGGATTGTTTTTACATATACATCTTTCAAGGGACTCAAGTCACAAATGTGAAAGCATAATTAAAAAATATAACTAAGTTTAGAATAGGGTAGATGATATTATTTATTGAAATATACATTAAATCAAGAGCGACAATAATTTGTTTTATTTTTTCTCACTCTTATGGAGTCAGGAAAACTCTTCTGGTTAACTTCTATATTATTTCCTGTGCTTATATGAAAAAAAAAATATAAAGAAGATACATAAGTCAAATAAACCATAAAATATTGAATATTTTCATTAAAAGCAAACTTGTAATCTCCAATCTAACTCTTAATATCTATTTTTTTTTATTATAAACGGCAAAGAATGCTTTTTTCTGTATAGTCCCCAGAGTTAAAATTCAAATACTAAATGTTCGATTTACAGTTTATGTATCCCAGGGGATTCAATACTCATATTATAATTTTAATCTATAAGAAAAGCTATTGGTCAATAAGTTGATGAAGCAAGAATAACAAGGACGTTTTCTTTAATAAAGAATTTTACAACCAAAATGACTTTAATGATTATCAAACCTAAGTTCCGTCCACCTCTGCATGTTTTTAATTATAATTAAAATGTATGCAAAAAGTAAACTGCATGATTAAAAAAATATTTTTCTCCTTTGCATAATTTTTCATTATTGGACATTGAAAAAAGAGATGTAAATTGTGTTTAATGTTGATTATATCAATCTGTCATATATTTTCGTGTTTCTAGTGTCACTCATAGATTAATTTTACTCAAAATAAATAGATAGACCTACATATTTTAAATCAATGACAATTTATCATTAAGTCAAAGGCGGAATATTTTTTTTCATATTTAATGTTAGGCAATTTTTTACACACTGAGTTGTCCACATATTTTCCTTTTTTTTCACATGAGACGGAGCACATGGCAAGTGTTCCAGGGCGGCAGGAGATGCTAACTCCGCTATGGTACCTGATCCCACCTCTGATGTTTTGGAGGTCTGTGTTTGCTCCGCTCCTATTTTGTCACGTTTAATGGAATTTTGAGTTCCAGTACTCTTCGTTTTCTTCACACATTTCCAAATCTATAACTGGTGGCCATATATTTTAATTTAGTTCATGGTGAAGATACCATCATTTATGACTGTGATATACACAGCAAATAACTATTATTACTATTACTAATTATTATACTTTACTTTATTTACTAAACAAGAATTATAGAAATACTTCTGCAAATACATATATGAACAAAAGATCCTTTGACCCACTTATTTCTATTGTTAGATGTTCAGCAGTAGGTATTGATTGAGTCAATGACTGTTTATATACCACTTAAAATGCTCATTTGTTGTCTAGCACTAAGTGACATATTAAAGATGTATCACATCCTATTTGTTTCATTTTTGCTTTAAATTGACGCGTTTTATTGTTTTTTTTTTTATTTTTGATCCCGAAACAACCTAGACCTTAGAAATTATGATAAAATAAAACGTTCTGAATAACCTCCTGGACGATTTTTCAGATTTTGCATGTTTTTTCCGAGATACGCTTTTAATATGGAGACAAGTCTGTCCTATCTGTCCCTGATAAATGTACACTGGACAAATCCATAGACTGGATCACATATTTATTTTTTGTGTGTGCATGTAATCTTTAACAAGTTGTGTTTCAGTTTTACATCGAAATAAAAAAATTATGTGGTCCTTAAAGTATAAATCAATATCTTTGAGCATTTCCTTCTCCTTGAAATATTACAAGACCTACATAGAAAACGATATAATAATATTCGTAATAGTGTTTTTCAATTGCAGAGCAGTCACTATACGGATACACAACAGACCAGAACATATTACTGGTGATGCTCGAGGAGTATACAGTTGTTGACTGGGGTCTCGGGAGGAAACAGTCGATCTGTAGGACCGAAGTGATCTGTTGGACCAAAAAAGCCCAGGACAACAGTTTGCATTCAGGTCTAGCAGATCGACTGCTTTTCGAGACTCCTGCCATGCACAAACTACTAGTATTTTGTTATAATCCTCTGTCGAATGAAAATATCAGTTTAGCGCTATTTGACGTCAGCTGGTAACAGTCTTTTTAACAGTTCCTGGACTTCATGACAGTCGAACTGTTGGACCTTTAAAGTAAGAAATTATATAGGGACTGTTTAGTAGGGGGTTAACAATGACTACTTTAATTCCCTTTTTGCACCTGTGCTATATCGGAATTAACATTTTTAATGACGTCAAAAAGATTGTGCGAAATCATCAGAACCAGAAGGACCTAGTATATGTACAAAAAAGGAATAAAGATGGCAGATGCATGAACTGAGTTGATGGGTTTTAGAATATACACTGTATTACAGTTTATGTAATTTTTTCATTCCATCTATTTTATATAATATATATATTTTTACTATCTTTTCTGATGGAAAGTTCTGCAAATGCAGCATAATGGGCATTTATAAATTTTAAAGTTGAATAACTCACTGCATAATCAAAACAAAGGAAGAATTATTTCTCTTAAAGTTTTACTTGCATAATGTTTAAGTGAGGGGAAGTGGACGCTTCCTTATAATTCTCGAGTTATCATGACTTTGCCATCTTAAATCATCTAGATGGAAACGATTGCTACTTCCTTAAAACCTGAAAGGTTTTAAGGACTTAAGTATTTAGTTTTTAAATGTATTAAAACGCCTCAATAATCCTGTAAATACATTTAATTTTTCCCTTCCACATTCTTGTTATATATCTGAAATCTATTTAAAAGATAGGTTTGAATTTTGTTGGGTTACAGAAATTCGATACAACAAAATAGCAAAAACTACCGTAGCATAAGAAATTAAATTAAACTTCGCAGCCCTAGAATATAATATTTTTTTTTACCAAAGAGGCCATATTGTCAGCAAAATCATCTGAATTTAGAAATGAATCATACCTCTAATCCTCATCCCCTCCCATCCCCCAGAAAGGGAAAAAAGAATAAATGGAAGGTCCAAGGGAAAACCCCCCACTTTAGAATCCTACTTCTTTTTTTAAACAATACTTCAAATAACATATATTGAAAGGCATTCACCTTAAAGATATATTTCTTTATATGGCTATATTGCTATTAATAGCACCTACATGTAACTATAGGTTTTCCGACAACCCATGACATCACAAAAGGATGGAAATACCTTAACCAATCAACTCTAAACAGGTGCCAAAGATTGACCAAAGATCACAAAATATACCCTAACACACGTATAAAAATAATTAAAAATTAGAGTGAATTGAAGATTATATCTTAAATTTCCCTTGGTTACGCGAAACCTTACTTTGGGTTTTAAATGAATTTGAATTAAATGGACCTTATCTCCAATGAAAATGAATATTTCACAATGTATACATTTCATTAGAAATCACATTAGACTTAGCATAATTTCATATGTTATATTTTATAAAAGGCAGTATCATGATTCAACAAAGCAGAAGTCAGAACAAACACTGTAAAATAAAAAAAAACATAACTTAAATACGTGTAGCACTAAACTTTCAAAACATTTTTATTCTAGGACATGTAATATAGGATAAACATCCGAAAACTAGATTCAGCCAACCACAGACATGAATATGATCATGACTTACGTAAGTACTTTGATTAATTCATTCCACGCGTTTCATCGAGTCATAAAACAAAAGTGCGTTTGTACTTGCATAAAATATTTCAATGACTCCCAGGGAAAAAAAATCCCGTGACAATGTTAAGTGGGCAAGATATTACATTTTCCTTAAAAGTGCCCTCAAATTACACATACATGTAACCTTGTCTCAATTAGATTCGAAAAGATTTTAAGCATAATTCGAAAACGATCATTTCAAGCGGTTATAGATTTTTTTTTGTTCCCAGAAGAAATCATGTATAGCTATTTCTGTACAAACATTGATGAAAAATGAAAAGATTCGGTTAAGGTACCCGTACTCTATAAGTAACAGAAAATTAAAACCAATAATTTCTTCTCACGAAAGACGATCAACATTATATTTCAAAATCAAATACAATCATAATTTAGTGGGTTAGTAGTGGTTTCCACTCGTCTTGTCAGACATACTGTTATTTTCAATTTTCACCAGACCGCACAACATTTTACGTAGTATTTTCTTCACTTCCCTTCGAAAAGAACGATCAAAATAGCCATAAATTATAGGGTTAACAATGTGGTTAAAAATATACATCCGGCGCAAAATCAGGAAAATTTGCAGTGCAGAGTATGATTGGTTAATCCAAAAGTATCGTGATCGCGATTCTATTGCTGAGACGATCACAGTTGGTATGTACGATATCGCAAAAAAGAATGATATCGATATAAAAATATAAGAATATCGATTTGTGGAAAAATGGTTCTTCACAGCTTGATAGCTAGCTTTCCGTCCTCGTTTCGTGAGCTGTTTTGATGGACTATCGATACGAGAGTCTCGCTTACAGATCGAATCCCGATATTTTGCGCCATCGTCTTTATCGATAATCATAGAAGATCGTGGATGCTTCTCTTTAACCAAATCGACCAGGACAAATTGGGAATTCCTTGCTTCTAGTCCATTGAAACTTGTTTGGCCTTGTGATGAACTGTTTAACAGATCCTCGCTGGAAAAGTCCCCCGTGTTGGCATCTGCCATTTCTCGTAGCTGTTTTCGACGGCTTTCGCGTTCTTTGAATGTGGCACTTCTTTTCTTCATGGATTTCAAAATAAAAGTATACAAAACTGTCATAGTGATCAGTATGCCAATCGTCGCCAAAAATAAGACACCACTATAAATCGAAAACATGACACTGTGAAGAGGTGTTGGTTTTACAATGCTACACTCGAATCCCGTCACATTTCTTTCTGCATTATATACTTCGCTGACGTCGTAAAATGCCGATATAGGAGCAGACAGGCCCGCTCCGACGGCGAGGCTGACCGCCAACATGATTTTTCTGTGCCGTGCCGTGATTTGTCTTCTTGTCGGCCGACACACCAGATTGTATCGCTGGATTGAGATGTACAACAGAACAATCCCTGAAGTCACTCCGCCTGTCTGTAGAAGAAAAGAAAACACCTTGCACACCGCTCCATCTTTTGGGAGAACAAAATAAAAATTGAGGAACAGAGAATAAGCTACTCCTGCAATCACTGCACCTAGGTCCAGCTCAGCAAGAAACAAAATAAAGTAGCGGTTGTCCGTCTGCATGTGCGAGCGAGCTTTGTAAACAAGAATAACAAGTAGATTTCCTAACACTCCGATGATCAAGTAGAAGCACAGGATGACCGTGTTCAGTAAACGCTCGGAGGCTATCTGGCTATTCCAGTCCTCAAGGCTTCCAACCTTAGAACCATTGTAGGTCACAATTGTTGTCAACTCACTTTCATTCATGATTGTATGCGATGTCAGAGACGAATGAAATGAAACTGAGTTTTTAAACCATATCTGATTATTTTTTTCCTTCGTCGGAATGCGTGGCAAACATTCCGGTATGCGCGGGGTCCTACTAATGTAGTATTGTTTACAACAAGTGGCCTTTTCCTGGAAATGACACAATATACATCTCACAAGTTAAGCTTATTTAGGCGAAAGTTTTATATATCACACGACATACTCTACTTCAAATGATTTTAAAGAAAGAAAAACCCAAGCATTATGACATATATTTTGGGTTGTCCGAAAAAATCATAGACATGTGGGGAAAACAGTTTAGTTTTTCTTTGCTTTATCAAATGTCTTTTCTTGTCATAGCAAAAAGTAACATTTCATGATCATGCACTTCAAGTTTCATGATGATATCACACGACATATTCTACTTCAAAAGACTTTTAAGAAAAAAAAACCAAGCATTATGACATATACGATAATAAAAAGATGTTTTGCTAGTTATGCCAATATCGTGATTTTTTTAAACTGAGAAAACTATGGTCTAAAATGGAACTAAAACTTTGGGGTGGTAAGGACTGAATGATTTTTTTTCAATAACTCCAATTTTCAAAGTAGATATCCTTAAGGTAAGTCACTCGTCAGCTTTTTAGAAAAGTTCGCGCAGAAGCTTTTACTTCAAAACTACTTTTTAAAATTCAATTTTTATAACATATTTAAATTCAACAATGTAAATTTTGTAACATTCAATGAAAAAACTGCTCAAAAATCTACAGAGAAGCAAGATTTATGAGGGACTATTTCTTTTGGTGGAAGGATATTTAGCAGAAAATTCTGCAAATATGCATATTTATAAAATTTAATGTAATGGAAATTTAGACTCACATACTTTTACTCGGAGAATATTTTCCGTCTTGATATTGCTAAAAATATCTAATATAGGTCTTAATTTATATTTTTAGACTAAGTTTTACACCTTCCCTCAACAAACTTTTCCAAAAAATGAAAATATATTAAAGAAGTCAAGGTCAAATTTACACCATTTTTTGCCTGAAAATCACATATTTTGACGAATATTTCAAAATTAATATCACTGACCCCACCTTTTTCTTTCATTATTTTAAACTGTTCGATACTTGTGACTGATCAGCACTCAAGTCGTAAAAAGTTTGATATAAGAAAATTTTTTATTGCCTATTAAGTTTTTTAATACCCCCAAATGTGTTATTTTTTAGTGCAAAAAGGTCGCACAATAATTTATGCGCATTAATTTGCAAGATTTGTTTAATGATAAATATTATTCAAACTATTGTACGTAAAATTAGATTAAATTTATTGCCATGCTTACATCTAATCAAATATAATAAGGGTTAAAGTAATTAACCAAAGAGATGAAATTTAAGTGCAAAAAGGTCAACTTAAATGTACCGTAGATCAGTAGGATGCACACTGACCCCCTATTTTCTTTGCGATTTTGAGTTACACTTTATGAGTACTTATCCAAAATATACTTCTCAAAAAATCCTTGATATAGCAAATTTCAGGAGTGACTTACCTTAATTCAAATTAAAAAGAAAAGAAACCTTTCACATACATGCACATGTATAAGGCTAATTTAGGCTTTTCCTGTGGCCAGCCCAGAGTCTGTTGGTAAAGGGCTTAAAAACAAAGAGTTAAATATATGCATTCAAACAGTTTGCCTACAAAACTAGATTTTCAAAGATTTATTATGTTCCCCAAACGAAGTTGGGGAACATATTGTTTTTACTCTGTTTCTTATTATTAAGGTCTTCCGAATTCCTTCGGAAGACCTTATTGTTTTCCGTCGGTTTCCTATTAAGGTCTTCCTTTTCCAACGGAAGACCTTTCTGTTATTCTTAGGTTTCTTTTCCACAGTTTTTTTCTTTTTTCTTACAGATTTTGTGCACGCGAGTTCTCGGAAACGGCTTGCTCGATTTTTATGAAACTTTCAGGGCTGATGGAACATAAAAAAATCTAGACATATATTTTCTTATTTTGATGACGTCACTTCCGGTTTGGAGATTTTTTGCATTTTAGTGAATTTTAGAGGGTTAGTTTGTCCGCGAGTTTTCTCGAAAACGGCTTAAGATAGAAACTTGAGATTTTCAGTGATAATAGAGCAATAATTGTAGTTGTGCGGAACGTATTTCATATTCACTGAAATTGCTGTGTACGGAAGCTCGTTTTGGCCAAAAAATAGTCCTATCACGAATTTCGAAAATTTTGACACTTTTTTAACAACAACTATTTACCTAGAAATATTTTGTTAAAGCATGTAGAACAAAAGAAGTGTAGAATTTAGAGACCTTTGAGATGATTTATCGAAAAAAGGGCTGACCCCTAAATTTAAGGGCCTGGAGGGGCCTAAAGCTTTTCCTTCATATCTCAAAAAGTATTGACAATTTGTAATACGTCTAAGAAGCAAAGTTGTTCAAAATGTTAATCTTAATTTATTGGAGTCGTCAAAATACGTCCAGTGTCGTCACTTCCGGCCAAACCGGAAGTAGTCGAAAAACGCGTATTTTTGCCGTTCTAGACAAGTTTTGGGGTAACATATGACTCGGGGAGCTTAATAATTAATTTTCCGTGCGTCGTCGTTACTTCCGGTCAAACTGGATGTAGTAAAAAATAGTTAATTTTTGCATTATTTAACTTAGTTTTAGAGGATTCAAAGCATTTTTGTGTGTTAATTCTCATTTTTGTTAAAAATAAAAGCTACTTCCGGTCAAACAGGACGGAAGACCTACTCGTTGCTTTGCAACGAGCTTTGCTCTAGTTAAGGTCTTCCGTCTCCAACGGAAGACCTTCTTGTTTTCGTTCGGTTTCTTTTTCCCTATTATTATTATTATTAAGGTCTTCCGTCTTCACGGAAGACCTTATAGTGATGTACTGTTTCTTATTAAGGTCTTCCGTCTTCAGCGGAAGACCTTCTTGTTATTCTTAGGTTTCTTTTTCACTTTTATTATTATTATTCTTTTTTTTCTTACCGATTTTGTGCACGCGATTTCTCGAAAACGGCTCGATGGATTTCCATGAAATTTTCAGGACTTATATAGCATTACTTGAACCTCATGCATTTTTTTCCGATTTGATGACGTCACTTCCGGTTTGGAGATATTGTCGATTTAATGATTTTTGAAGGGTCATGTTGTCTCCAGACTTTCTCAATAATGGCTTAAGATAGAAACATGAAACTTTCAGGTATGATAGACCAAAGTCTATAGATATGTATAACGTATTTCATTGTTATCGGAAGTGACGTACGTCGGCGCTCGCTATGGCCCAAAAATAGTCGTATCGCGAATTTCAAATTTTTGAACACCTTTTCTACGATATCTTTTTACCTGGAAACATTTTGTTAAAACATATACAACAAGAGAAGTGTAGAATTCCAAGATCTTTCAAATGATATATTGCAAAAGGGGCTGGCCCCTAAAATGAGGGGCCTAGAGGGGCCGAAAGTTTTTTCCTTATATCTCAAAAAGTATTGAGAATTTGTAATACGTCAAAGAAGCAAAGTTGTTTAAAATGTCAAGCTTTATCTACTGCAGTCGTCAAAATACGTCCGGCGTCGTCACTTCCGGCGAAACCGGAAGTAGTCGGAAAACGCGTATTTTTGCCGTTCTTGACAAGTTTTTGGATAACATATGTCTCTGGGAGCATAAAAATTAATTTTTCGTCCGTCAGCGTCATTTCCGGTCAAACCGGAAGTAGCCAAAAATAGCTAATTTTGAAGGTTTTTGATGCAAAATTGAAAATATATAGTCACTGGAGACGACATTGCACATTGCTTTCTTTTTTGATGTCACTTCCGGCACTTCCGGTCAAAACCGGACGGAAGACCTACTCGTTGCTTTGCAACGAGCTTTGCTCTAGTTATTATTCTTTTTTTTGACAAAAATTTTGTGCACGCGATTTCTCGAAAACTACTCAGCGGTTACTCATGAAACTTTCACAAAATATGTGTCATTATATGAAGTTGTTACATCCGAAGAAAAATTTGGAAAATTCGCTTCTGATGCCAAGTTATGGACAATTTCCTGATTTTCAAATGCGATTTTGTCGCGCACTTATATCGAAAATGGCTAAGGATATGAACTGGAGACTTATTGGAGATGATAGATCATGACTTTCTGGTTTGCAGAATTACCTTTTCGTGCGTCGTCAGTACTTCCGGTCGTTACGAGATGCAAATTTAAAAAAATCGTATTTTCCAACTTTTTTGTTTTTCAGTATTTTTCATTTATTTTTGGTATCTTAATAGAAATCCTCCTTTTTATGCTTACAATTTAATTTGTTTGAATATTGATAAATCTAAACTCTAGATATTAGCATTCAAAAATCTGAAGCGGGTCCAAAATGGCGGCTGTCTCAGTCAACGCCGACATTTCGCAATAGTCGTTTATGGAGTCAGCCGTGCGTTTACTTGAACAAAAGTAACATAAGTGTAAATGGAATGTAAAGGAATACTTGGATTGTCTCGTCGTAGTTACGTTGCAGTTCTGTGTCAAACTAACGTCTTCTATAATTGGTTTTGGCTGGTTTTCAAATTAGAGAAAGAAAAGACTAAATGTACAAATGAAATTCGATACCTAATATCTTTTGTGCATTACAGAAAAACAGATCTTAAATCATACTTATAAGTAATACTTTCTCAAAAAAGAAAATCAATTAATATTGTCAGTATATATCTCAACCACTCGGTTTTTCCTATGCACACTTGTGTCATATTAAACTAATAAATTTTACAAAAATAAGAAAACGATTTTTTAAAATATCGCCTCATGGAGTTCATTTGAGCATTCTTCTCTCAAAGACCTGATTCAAGTTATTTAGCATAAATGATATCTGATTCCTTGACCGTCGTAGGGCGAGCCATGTTTTTCGGCGAAACGTTTCAACCTTTTTCGATTAACTAATCGGGATAATTCACTTTGGGGAGAAACAGGAAATTGAAAAAAATTCATAGCTTTAGTGTTACATGCATATATACAATTGGAATTTGTAAAATGTGTTAAATATACTCTCTAAACCTCGAATCTTAGGCTATAAGAACGTTGTTTTCTTAATTTCATTGAAGCTATCACACCTATTTAATAGAACATTCCAAAGAA